CGATGAATTATGATACGATAAAGAATCGCGCAATGCGCATCATGTGGTCCCGACGTGATCCATCTCTACGTAAATCTGGAGTAGGCAATATTTACATCAAAAATATAGATAAAGCCATTGACAGTAAGGCTATGTATGATACTTTGTCTGCATTCGGTAACATTTTGAGTTGCAAGGTTGCTCAAGATGAGACCGGCAACAGCAAGGGCTATGGCTTTATTCATTTTGAATACGAAGAAGCCGCTAACAAGTCAATTGAGAAAGTTAATGGCATGTTGCTTAATGGCAAGAAGTTATACGTTGGTAAATTCATTGCACGTAACGAACGCGAAAAGGGATTGGGAGAGAATGCTAAGTTATTCACCAACGTCTACATTAAAAATTTTGCAGAAGATTTAAGCGATGACCAATTGAAGAAGATGTTTGAAAAGTTTGGAAGAATTACGAGCCATAAGATCATGACTACGGAAGATGGCAAATCAAAGGGATTTGGATTTGTTTCTTTTAAAGAATCCGGTGCTGCCGAGGCCGCCGTCAATGAGATGAATGGAAAGGAAATTGTTAAAGGAAAACCAATGTACGTTGGACGTGCCCAGAAGAAGGCTGATCGTCAGCTCGAATTCAAGCGTAGATATGAACAGCTCAAGATCGAGCGTATGAACAGCTACCAAGGCGTTAACGTGTATGTTAAGTATTTGGATGACACCATTGATGAAGATAGATTGATGAAGGAATTTTCGGTCTTTGGTACAATTACGTCCGCTAAGATAATGATGGACGAGGGTCGCAGCAAGGGCTTCGGTTTTGTTTGCTTCTCCTCTCCGGAAGAAGCGAACAAAGCTGTAACAGAAATGAACGGCCGCATCGTGGGTTCGAAGCCGCTGTACGTTGGTTTGGCTCAGCGTAAAGAAGATCGCAAAGCCCATTTTACGTCGCAATACGCTCAACGTTTGGCAAATATCAGAATGCAACAAATGCAATCGTGTATTCAACCAATGGTATCGCCAAACTATTACATGCCTACGTTAACTGTTCAACCTCAGACATATTTCGGCGCGACCACCACTCAAATACCGCCGATGCTCTCCAATGCAAGATGGCCCCAGAATTCCGCGCGTCCTTCACAAGAAGGAGCCAATGCCTATGATTGTATGCATAGTAATATGATTATTGAAAGACCTATAACTGTCCAACAACCCTCCAG